AGGTTAGGGCCGATTCCGCCCTTTCGGACGAATGCGGGCGCGGCACTTCGGATGAACCCTTCGGCTCGTCACGGCGACAACTTAATAAAGGATATATTAAAGTAAATGCTAATGATCTACAAACAATAAGAAATTATAAATAAAAATAATTTATTTAAAAAGGAAATATAATTGAAAAGGAAAGGGAAAAGGAAATGTGCTGAATAAATATCAAAGGAACGATCTTGAACGAAAACCTATCAAATATATTTTTGTTAGGACAATTTGGAATATTTTGAGCGAAATTTGACTTGCAATATTTGTAATGCTACTAAAATAAGCTTACAAAAATATATTAATATTATAAGCAACCCTTCGATTATCTCGATTATTAAGAACTGATATATTTGATTTTCTCGGTCAAAATGTAATTCGTTCGTTGAGATTACAAGAATTATATTTTCTATTATAATTAGGCCAGTTAATTTCGGGATTACAAGTTTCTGAATTATAACAAGCTTGCAATAGTTACTTTAAATTTGCTTATAAATATTTATAATAAAAAGATATAATAAATAAAAGGATATAATAGCTGCGATTAATTTATGACTGAAAGTGTTTTTTTTTTTGTTGCATAAACACCATTAAATTATATACTAATAATATAATTTGTGTAAACGTTGCCAGCGACATGGATTTCTATGGAAAGGTATGTACTATCTTCAGCTAATTCAAAATTCACAGGACAGCAGATAATATTTGAGAACATTAACTAGGATCCGATAAAGCATCCATGGCAAAAAAAAAATTGTACTCGACTCATTTCTGAACATAACGATATGTTTTTTTTGAAATGGTCGGAAGTACCGTGGCTTTCAAAAAAGTCAAACCATTTAATAATACCAACATAATTATCCATAACACATAAAATTAAGCCTTGACGTACCTACGCATTGAACAATTATCATTTTGAATGGTAACTTTGGGCACCACATTTGTTAAAAAATAAAAACCGACAAACACAGAATAAATCACACTCATTAATATAATTTTTTGTGGTCTTGTCCCCTAATTACAAATAAATATGTTTATGGTCTTCTCACTCTAATTGCAAGTCCCAATAAACCTTATCATCTTTAATATTCTTGAAAGCGGTATAATGATCACGAGGAGCAAATTGTCATTCAATGTCAACACCTTGATATGCTGTGTCAGAACTTCCTTTCTTATAACCAACCACCTTATAGTAAGTGTTGTAAAAACCAAAGTTTTGAGGTTGCACATATCGACCGCAAATCAGACATCCGCAGTCCCTTTCATTACGGAAATATTCAAAGACACCACCATTGCGATATCACCATTTACAAGAACATAACCTCCATTATAGGCTCGACAGGATGAATTTTGGAAATGAGTTTTTGAAAAATAGGCAAAATAGTTTTATAAGATCAATTTAGTAAAACATTTTGACAAAAATTATTATTGCTTATCCTCAATATTTAAACCTTCCGTCACAATTCTCCGATCAGGTGCCCTCACGACGAATATTATTAGACATTGAAGCTTATTTACCGAAGAAAAGTATTGATATTTTTAGTATTTGAAAGACAGTTAATTTAAAAAATTTATATAAAAATTTTATGAAATCTTTTATTACCATTACTTAAAAAAAGTTATATGACGAATGACAACCACGTACAATGACGCAATTCTCTATCAAAATTTCAACCGCGGTTATCTAATTTTGTTTTTCAAGTTTTTTTAAGGCATCACTCAGACCTATTTAGTATGGTCCTTTTTTTTATACATGTAAAATATATTGCACTTTTGAGGCCTAAAAATATTTAACTGTTAATTAACTGGTTAAAAATTAATATCTACACTTTTTAGAAACATACAAGTTTATGAAAAAATCAAACGGGTATATTTTTTATAGTATACATGTTTGTGATATACTGATATACCTATAGAAACATAAGTTCTTCTAACCTTTTTTAGTAAACGACACTTAAAAATTGGTTGGTTAATGTTTATCTTCATTTTTTAATGAATCTTCTTAGAACAATCAGATATACTTCAAATTCCGGAAGATAAATTCCATGTTCCAAGCTTTTTCATCTTGATCCTTGATTACAAAACATTAAGTAAGAGAATATTAATCTACGATATTTTTATATCAAGGAAAGCAACTGGTATCATATTATTTAAAAATTTCCTTGAAACTGTCGAGCTTTGGCACAAAACTGCAACCCAATGCAAAAATTTTAAATCGTTGCTTAGGATGATATGTTTCTTTGGATAATTTATAAAATCTTTAAAACTAATTATATTTATAAATAGTTGGACGAAACTCGGCAAACAGCTAATGCATTTTATTCATCAATAGTGCCGAAGAACTTTGATTTGTTTAAAAGTGAAAATACAAGTATAAACAACTAGATATACACCGTTTCCCCCTTTTCTATTGCAAAGGTCCCATATATATACTCTTGAAATGGGATAATGAACTAACCAAAGTTGAATATTTTTGACCATAAATTCAAATTGAAATTAACAAGTTTATAAATTATAAAACAAACACCTCCATGATTTTCTCAGCAACTATCCTTGCCCCTATATTACGATTTGGGTTTTGGATGTCCGATTAAGCTTATACTAAGTATTTCAGGGACATTGAATTTTTTGTTGAACAAAACGTCTATATCCACAAGTAATTTGTCAACGGTTAATACTGTCCGGAAACTTTAATGCCGGTCATTTAGTAGGTTACGCTATGGTAGTACAATGTCGATCATGCTCTTTTTAATACCGAATTTTTATTTTTTTACGCCCAATTAATTTTTTACTTTATTGTATTATGGCTTTCATTCGTAGAGAATTAATTACTGCTACACTTCATAGAGTGTATGCATTAAATTCATTAAATACACATTTAGACATTGACAAAGAATATGAAAATAGATGTCAAACAATACTTGCTGATAAATCACTTATTAAACTGGAAAAATCAGAAGTAGTAATAATATTAAATAATGATTATGACTACAACAAAGTCACTTTAAATCAAGGTATAAAAAGAGTTTGTGAAAGTTGCGAACTTGAATGCTTAGCAACATCATATTGTGAGCATTGTATTCGAAATTACTTAAAAGCAAATTTTACAAATTGGACGTCCGAAAATGATGATATTGATAATTTAATAAGGAAATGTCAGTCGAAAGAAATTTTACAATGTAACATAATTGAATGGATCCCATGCAATAAATTACAAAATATTCAATATTTCACTAATGGTGGATGCTCCGAAATTTATACGGCAATTTATATTGGTGGAAGTTATTCTCAATGGGATTCTAACAAGCAACTATTAAAAAGAAGTGGTAATGTAAAAGTAATACTTAAAAGGTTAGAAAATGTCGTAGGTGCTAATAGAAATTGGTTTGATGAGGTATGTAATTTAAAATCATAGAAAATTATTAATTGAATGTAGCTAATCATTTAGGTTTATTTATAGGTTGTATCCCAATTAACTTTAAGCAATAAATGGGGAAATTTCATTCAAACTTTTGGTTTCACTCCATATCCACAGAATAATGATTATTTTCTTGTAATGGCTTTATTTGATATGGATTTAAGAAAGTATTTACAACAAAATCATTATCGACTTTCATGGAAAGAAAGAATCCATATTGTTTACGAGTTAATTGAGTCAATTTATATCATTCATGAAGAAAACTATATTCATGGATAAATTTGTAGAAATACAAAAATCTTATTATCAAAATGAAAATAAAAAACGCACTATTAATTTTAATTATATACGATCAAATGCAAAGTCTAATATAAACTCTAACTCTATTTATAATTATTCCATTATTTTAGTTTTAAACTTAAAATTTATTCAATTTAATCAATAGAAGAACATGAAGGTAATATAATTTTAATAAATTTAAAAATATTGAACGTTAAAAATTTATGTTAATTCTAATTCTAATTTTTTTTTATAATAAAAGTTTAGAACAGTATAAGGATAGAAAAAGATTTAAAGAAAAGATTTAAAAAATATCAAAATTTAGCAACAAACGGAAATAATTTGGCACAATATTATTTAGGCGAATGTTATCATTATGGAAAAATTGTTGAAAAAAATGAAGTTAAGGCTCTTGAATGGATGGTATAAAAAATCTGCAAATAAATATTATTTCTAAAATAAAAGAAATATAATTTAGTTTCAAATAAATGACCCCAAAGTAATCAACATTTAAGAAAATCAATTATTCAAATAAGTATTTATATAGCATCCATTTGTTACATAACATTGACGTTTCTATTTTAGCCATTATTTCATCGATTCATGTTTGGATTACCGTAGGTTTATCCTATGAGTATGCACCCATCATCTTAACAGATGATGTAAACCACATCAACGAGCACGACGCACATTTTTATACTAATTCCACAAAGGTCAAGAAAATAGAATCCTATAGTCAAACCTCAGATGGGTTTGTACTCAATGTCACAATTTACGGGTGTCAATCAAATTGTGGTTGGTCATTTAACCTAAAAATAGATAATTCTACAAGTAAAGTTACGCCGGTTGCTAGTAAACAGCTTCCTTATACCTGTGTGGACGACCCATCCACGTCGCGAGTTGATCTGAACACCAAAGTTTTGAGTTTTGGAAAAATTCCTAATCCACTTATCCTTTTTCCTTTAACCTCGCTATGCATTATTGTAAAAATAATTACAACATAGACAACAACACCGAAATAACAAGCAAAGATGATAAAAATAATTTGAATTGTCTCTATGCTTATTCCAATCAAATGTATGATTCTGGAATTACCTTTAATTTTGAAAATGATGGGTTCGATGGCCATTTACTAGACAAAAACCTGCTGCTTTATCTATAGTTGCAACATTAGATAATGCTTTTTTTACCTTTTATCAGAACCACTACCTAGGAATTAAATATTCTTTTAGTAACATTACTGAAAATATTTATAATCACCTAACTGATTTTGCTTCATTCTATAATCATGTACTGGATGACTTAATTTATTATGATATTACTGGCACATTACAGTTATTCACTGATAATTTTAATTTGAATTTACTTATATTTAACAGAATTTTGCTACAAAATGCCTTTTGATGCCACTGGTACAATGAAAAATGCTTTTAAAAATTATGGCCAAGATAAAGATTCATATTTGGGAATTATTGCAAAAATGCTCAATTATGAATGGAGATATTGATGTATTCACACCTTCATATTATTGGCTTGCAGCACCTTTTTATATGTCATCGAATTAGTTAATTTTGGTAGTGTAGATGTTAAGAACTTTGTACAACCTACTCTTAATGCAGCAGTGACAAGCATTATCCTCAATCATTATGGCTTTACCTATTGTAACCACGTAGACCAAAATCTCTGTGGTACATGTTTGTCGGCACAAGGAGCTGGTACAGCAGTTTGAGGTGTTTGCGTGATTATTGGTAGATATGACTGTGGTCAGTCAATACATAACAACAATTGTGTATTCGGGGTGTTAATTATAAACCCGATATCATGGATAATATTACTATAATGATTACTGGCACTATGATTACTGTCAAAATAATGTAAACGATTGGAGTATAAATTCAAAAGATTGTGTAAATGTATCGACAATCCGATGTTCTTCATTTCCAAATGGTTGCGTCTCTCAGAGTTGTGTGCTAAATATCAAGAAGGAGGTTTTATGTGTTACTGTCATGATGCACGTTTGTAATTGATATCCCATGTAATGTTATCAATATGAAAACTATTTAATTCAACTAATTTATTTTTAAATATTAATTTAATTTGACGTTTAATCAGGGTCTTAAAAGTGTTACTTTAAAATGAATATACATAATTTTAGAAAATAAATCACAAATGCAATTTAAACTAAAATATGTAGTGTATTTCATATATATTTGCTAACTAGGTAACGGGGACCGTTTGCAAGTCCGGAGCATTAAAAACATAGCCCATTTTAAATTCATTTGATAAAGTAATTCGTAATAGATCTTATCCTACGCTACGCTCCGGACTAATAATTTTATTTAAATAATATAGAAATATTTTAAATTTTAATAAATAATTAACCAGGAAGAATAATCTTACTATTAAAATGAATCTAAATAGAAAACCTGAAATTAGGGATGTTAACGACCGTTTTAAAACTTAATTTTAAGATTATTCTAATTTATAAGGCGCAAGCATTATCACGGAATTTTTTTAAACTTCATAAAGTTTTTAATTTATAAAAAAGTTTTATTTTTATTTATTGAAATAATTGTTAATTCGATTTACTATTCGAGATAATGAAAGAATTCGGTAATGCTTTACCGATTTTATTTTAAATAAAATATGTTAAGTATAAAAGAAGCTACAACCACTGCTTAAAAAAATCAGAATTAGATTTACACAAAGTTTAATATATTTAGTAATGGCGTGGACATGTAATTTTCCTTTACAGTACAGTTTATGTTATATATGTAAACTAATCAGAAGAGATATTACATCTGATATAATTTATTCTTTTGGAATGAAAGATTGAGAGATTTCAATAATTAGTATTAACTACAGATGCTAATAAAATTGATACATTATTAATACATTTTTAGTAATTCTGTATCACAATTCCGTATATTTGATAATGAATTTATTTTTGCATATTTTTTAAAATTAAAATATATGAAAATTATATAATTAAAAATAGATATTTATAAGTTGTCTTCACAAAAGAAAGAAAATGTTTAAAGATTTATGAAAAATAAATCTGCGTTAATTAAAGACCTAGTTAATTGTGATTGTATATGATTTTTTGATATTGGCGGATACTGGATATTGGCTGGCACTACCTAATACTAACTTTATACTCGGGTGGATTCAGAATCTATTCCCACCAATCTTTTTAGTAAGAAAAAAGCTAATCAATAGCAAGCTTTTGGAACTTTTTATGAACATCATGTAAAAAGTGTACAACGAAAGACTTATAAAAAAGAATATATACATATATTTCGCTCAATGAACGTAATATGGTGTAAATCTTCGTAAATTAGGTAAGAAAATATAAGTATCATAAACAATTTATGTATAGAAATCATTACAAGTGTTTGAATAATGGGAAAAGAGGGGTCAGTCTTATAGAAATTCAACTTTTCTATAATACTTACAGCAAAATTCATAAATTAGGTTGTAGGGTTGCCAGTGATAACCTAGGGTATACCGAAACTAGGCTAACGAATCAAACTCAAATTTTTCTCAGGCTCGTCCTAAGGCAAAGTTTTGATACAATTTCATAACGATAATTCCAATATGTAATTGGTAAAACAATAAGAATTTTATTGACTATAGAGTTTCCAAGCCTTATACCAAGCCTGTTATTATAAACTCTGAAAATAAATGACGACAACCAGGTCGGACTACGGGACTATTTGTAAAAAAAAAAAAAAATTTATAATCTAACTTTACTATCTAGTTATTTAAAGTAAAGAGCTAAAAACATTAAAAAAAAATTTGAAAAAAAAAACGGTGAATAATTTTTAATCAATATAAAAGGAAATATGAATCGAAATCCAAAAGAAATAACCCGAAAATTATAACAAATTAATGAAGCTATAGAATTGAAATTACAAAAAAATCGTTAAATAATTTTTAGTTTTCCAAGAATTATATATAATGATAATTAGAGATTGTGAACCAACTTTCAACGGTCAGAAAGTGGTTATTTTACATAATGCAGCATTGATTCGTTGGACGGTTTGGAGTTTCGGTAACATTTTGGCTTGAAGTAGTAGCATTTAAATCAGAGACAGGAACAACAAGAATAGAGATTACTTCTGTTGGATTCACGTTTGAAAAAAGTTAAAGATTATTGATTTGTAGTTTGAATTATATTTTTGAAGTTGATTAGATTCAAATTATATTGAAAAAAGTTATTTTATTGAATAATCAAAAAATTTAGCGCAAAATTCGCATATTTATAGAGTTTTCACCTACTAACATTCATAAGAAAAAGAAAGGTTAGCCCGATCTGCATTCATTCATTTTGATGATAAAATTTCTTTTGATATTTACAATAAAAAGTTATGATAGTTTAATCGAAATTTATTCTATTTTTAGTTGAATTATATTTTTAAATTTATTGAATTCATTCGCTTCATTGATTCCAAAATTATTAAGTTCATTAGTGTTGAGCATTTTCTAAAAAAAAAAAATCAGTTGCTTAATTTAGTAAACTATGAATAATTTTCGATTTAACATTTCATTGTTTTTTTGTACTACAAAATGATCACCACAAATAAAATGATAACTTTGAAGTCAATGGAAAATACTTTTTTGAAATATCACAGGAAAATTAAATTTAATATATTTAAATATATAAAAAAAAAAAAATATGCATATTGTTATAGATCATGAAGTTTCGTAGGTCGAAACTTTACTATAATTATACAAATCTATGCCTTATACCATTCCTAAAAAAAAAAAAGAAAAAGGGCAAAACCATCCCATTTAGGTAAATGTAGAAACTCTTGTCAATTTCAAGGATTTCGTCAGATTCTATTTGTGATTAACGATTTCGATGTAGCTAAATACATAATGGTTTTTAACAGGCTGGACTTGGGATAGATTCGAACCTGGGCTGGGCTGGGTTGGCATTTTAATACACGAATTTATAGCTTAAAGTCCAGGCTGGGTCGGGCTTCAAAATTTGGACTTATGCAGGTCTCTAGTCCCTAGGATCATTCCTATCAAAATTGCCATGTTTGAATATCATCTTCGCTTTTTACAAATTATTTGACATTTTTTTGATATATCAATAGTTAAGCTCATAATTCGGAAGATCATGTTCAAAATTTTAGTAAAAGTTACAGAATATTTTAGAGGAAATGATGCAAGGTCTTATTAGCATTTGCCTTTTTTAAAAATAAATAAATGCAATGATCTACTTGTAACGAATTTATTTTCAAATTTAATTTGTAAAAATATTCGGTTAATTAATAAGCGCATTATTAGTATTTTTGTAATTTGAGACTTGAGCCTGAAACTATTGGCACCAAA